ATTGTTTGGATAATTGGTTAATTTTATATAGAATGTACTATTCTTTTTAAAAGTAATATACTTTTCATAATAGTATTTTGTTAGTTGTTTGATTATTATGTACAATCTATTATTTAATTATTTAACATTTTTTGGTGATTTATGTTATTTTTGGTTAAAACTTTCAAAAATATAAATTTATATATAGAACTGCGTATAAGTTTGTATCCTGTAAGTACAAACAATTATTATCAAAATTAATTTTACTAAAGCATTGAATTATTAATATAAACTACAAAAAAAAAAAACATCGCGTTATTAGTGGTAATAGGTACATCCAAACACATGCCTTGGAGTTTTGTTGTACTCAATTTCCATCATTCCCACTTAAATTAGGAAAAAAAAATCCATCAAATATGTGTTAGCTATTGACCTACCTTGGTAGGTCCCAACGAATATTGGCTAATATTCAAACATTAGATTATAATATTTACTTTTTTATCTTTCTTCAATGAAAAGCATGAGACTAAATTGCCACCAATTAGGGGCCTAATTGGTGGTGGCAATGGACCCGGGCCCGACATGGGTCCGGGTGTGCATTCGAGAATTGGACACAGTAGGTCAGGTCCAAATCCATATGGACCCGACCTGAATAGTGTTATTCATGTATATATTTTGAAAATAACATTTAAATATATATATATAATATTTTTAGAATCGAGCCCATGTCTTCAGGTTCTGTTAGGTCCTGGTCCTTTATTTTGGGGTTCGGGTCAACCCGTTGCCACCCCTACCACCCATCTTGGTGGAACATGAAAAATTTAGCTGGCCGAACTAGTCCAATGGTTAATGAGATTTAAACCATTGATGTATCTAATTGGTGGGAAATATCCTTCAACACTATCCGTTATTGTTTGAATTTGTAAAAAAGATTAAATACTCGCACTAGTGCACAATGTACATTTGCTCCCTCTATCAAAGTCTCAGCTAAAAGTATTTTGAGGATTTTAAGTAACTTACTCAACCTAGCGAACAACCTACGGAGGAAATGAATAAAATAAATGGAAAATTGTTATATGTGGGCTGGACATTTTTACAATATGTGGCCCCAAGGTATAAAGCATCCATCGATAATTCATATAAAAAAATTTAAAACTAGTGGTCTAAATGTTATTTTAATAGAATATTATTTATATTTTTAAAATTTTATTTATTTCATCATATTCATGATCTCCGTGTTAGAGATTACATATCCATAAAAGATAATTTTAAAAATCCATCTCAAAAATATTTTTTTAAGATGTGACTCGTTTCTACGTAGACTCATAAAATTTGTGTTAAAAAAAATACCCCTAAGAAGTTTCTACACGAAAAATAATTAACGCTATGCAATTTTTAGACGGTTAGTTGGCAAGACCGCAAGAGCACTCAAAACTCTTTTAAAAATAAATACCAAAATTTCATATCAAAACAATTCCTTTGTGGAGCTCATGCTCTTTTGAGTTTTTTGTGCTATTACTTTTACTTTTTATTTTATTCTTTAGTTGGATCTCTATTTCGGGAGATTGGGATCGCTCATATGAGTTACTATAGTGGACTACAATTATAAAAAATGGATAGAACTGGTGATCCAACCGATGTTTTGGCTAGCTTGGCCCAAGGTAAAAGCTGTATCCAGTCAAAAATTGGTCAAAACTAATGTCTAAAATTGGCATTAGCTAGTCCGACAGGTTGGTTTTAACCAGTTCAACCAGATAAATGAAGTTAGACAATTTTAAAATTTATATATGTATATATTTTATTTTATTTATTTTTTAAAAATTCAATCCAATTGGTTGAATTGATAGTCAGTTCAATTTTGACTACACTAAATCCCTCATAGTTTAATAGTCGATACAAACAATTAATTTTGACCATTGGATGTGATATTAGGTGCCTGCATTTATTTATTAACAAAAATTCATAATAATTTTTCTTGAACTTTATAACTTACCTCTTTGTGCTAAAAATAAATAGTCTACATCGAACAACTACTTGAAGAATACCAATCCGCCCAAATAATCCTTATTTTAAAGAAAATATATATAAGAGCGACGCCTTAAACAATCAAATTAAGAGGCATCTCCAAATAGTGTTGAAACCACACTGAGCCTATACAAGTCTTTTACAGTTTACTACTGCAGGACCACGCTATGTACCCTCATTTAGATATCTTCAAATAGTGTTGAAACCACACTGGGCCTATATAAGTCTTTTACAGTTTACTACTGGAGGACCACGTTATGTACCCTCATTTAGAGATCTTCAAATAGTGTTGAAACCACACTACGACTATATAAGTCTTTTACAGTTTACTACTGCAGGACCACGCTATGTACCCTCATTTAGAGAGAGCGCCCTAAAAATCACCTCCCAAATGCCGCCGAAATGCGCAGCGAAAAAGCGCCGTGAAACGCGCCTCGATTTTGGCGCTCAGTGTTTTGGCTTTCCTTTTTGTTCTCTCTCTACTTTCTCTCTCTAAATTTTACACCACACGCCCTCCCTCTCTCTAAAATTTAAACTACACGCCAAATGACTTTCATTTTCAACAGCTATGTAAGAGCTGTTAGAAACGTGTACACGCTCTCGCTCTCTAAAATATTTTCTCTTGAGAAATATTATTCGAACTATTATTAATATATTTTTTTAAAAATTATCTTATAGGACCCACCTCTATCCATGTGGGTAGGACTCCAACTATTAAATTTGTCATCAATTTACAAAAAAAGTCAAATTCTACATTCATGTGATAACTTTTTTAAAGATACGCGTTAATTTTAAAAGTGATCCTTTAAGGTGCTACACATATATGTAGTGAGTGTCCTATAAAATCATTATTTTTATTTTTATTTTAAAAATATTTTCTCTCTCTATTTTTTTATTTTAAAGATATGGCAATTGCCTAGGTGGCATGGTTGGCCAGCAAGCGACTATCCAAGTTGAGAACTGGACAAGTCTAATGGAGCACGACTAACAATAGGCTGGGCGCCCTGGTCCGGCACACTGGATGTAGAAAAAAGTAGAGCCTAGCCTCAAATTGTGGCACGTGGGGCGAGCTAGAGTCAATGCTGGCTGGACTCGGCCCAGCCCAACCCTGTTATTTATTGGATCTGGGCCAAGCCCGCATATATAGAAATGTTTTAAGACTTAATTTTAAGGATCTGTACTCGCTAATGTGGAGATCATGAATATGAAAATATGAATTAATTTAAAAAATTAAAAATAATAATTGTAGTAAGAAAACATTTGGACCGTTACTTTCTATTGTTTTTAGATGGAACACCTACTTACATCCATCTTTAAGATGGATGCTTTACACTTTTTGGATCGCATATGTAAAAATGCGGTCCGGCCCAATTTTTACATGATTTTTTGCAGTTAATATACACATAAATTAATTTTTTGTGATAATAAAATACTAATAATTTATCAAAATACATCTAACAAATTAACTAATGCACATTTTACATATTATTTTATTTGATTTCGGAAAGCCCATCAAAAGCCCCATGATCAGAGTGAGTTCGATGTAATTTGAAATGGTCCGGGCCAGGGCTGATGCACACTCTTTCTGCAGGACTTGTAAGGATTTACTCCTGATCGCGGATGGTTTATTTTTCTATTAAAAGAAAAACTTATAGGCAGTTTTATATATAAATTTATATTTCTTAAAAATAGTTTTGACTTTATTTACAATAGCATGCTGGAAATCGCATTTTTTTGATATCCAATTACTAAATATCTTATTCATCTCCCTCTCTCTCCCCTTCCTTTTGTAGGCATGGGGACCAATTCTCTACGAGACAGATTTGGGCCCCAAATAACATTAATGGCTTGAAGATTTTGTAGCTCTTTATCTATACATACATTACTTATACGTCATATGGTATTTATTAGATGAATGAGATTGAGCCGACAATAATATCATAGTTTATATTAAAAAAAAATAATGCTATACATCCATTGCAACTTGGCAAGGATGATCATTTTTTTTTTAACCAAAAATAAAAAACAATAAGAAAAAAGTTGGCTATTTCCCGACTTACTAAGACTCAAAGAGTAAACCAAACTATATTTTACACTATAGATCATTATCAAACACATGTCGACAACTATCTAATCTTGATTAAATCGTCGAGAGTGAAAAAATAACAATTCACCCCTCTTATGACTCATCGAGCAGGGGTCGCAACAGGTGGGTCTTGAGCCGGGTCTACCCCTAGCCTAGTCTTTGCAGGGCTGGTCTTAGCGCAACCCGGCCCTAACGGGGCATAAAAGGTCATGGTCAGGCTTGGCCTTGACTCTATCAGGGCCGTGTTGGCCCGTGCTGAATACAATAAGAATAAATAGGAAACAGTAAGAAAAAATTGGCCATTCCTTGACTAAGACTCAAAGACTTAAACCAAACCGCGTTTTACATGTTAAAATGGGAAAGAGAGACAAAAGAAAAAAAAAAAAAAAAAAACAGTAGAAGGGTATTTTAGTCATTATTTATTTGAAATATGGTCCCCCGGAACTCACACAACGTAATATAAAAATTGGAACATACGCCTACTGCTCCCGCATCCCCTGAGCACTGCCTTTAGAGAGAGAGAGGGATGGGGAGAGAGAGAGGCTATGTTATTTTAGAGAGATAAAGTAGGGATACGATTAGAGAGTTGTTTTTAGAGAGAAGAGAGCATTATTTTTTTAGAGAGATAGAGATTGTGATATTCCCTTTAGAGAGAGAAAGCAAGTCGTGTGATATTTTAAAAAGGGGGAGAGAGCTGCGTTATTTTAGAGAGAGAAAGTAGGGAATTCGATTAGCGATGTGTTTTTAGAGAGAGAAGTTAGCATTATTTTTTCTACAGAGAGTTAGAGGGGAGAGGCCCTCTTTATAGAGAGAGTTAGAGGGGAGAGGCCCTCTTTTAGAGAGAGAAAGAGGAGAGAGGTCCTCTTTTTGAGAGAGAAGAGGAGAGAGATACTATTTAGAGTGGGAGAGTTACACCCGAAAGAGAGAGAAAGAGGAGAGAGGTCCTTTTTTGAGAGAGAAAGAGGAGAGAGATACTATTTAGAGTGAGAGCGATATACCCGTTGATGGCTTTAAATTTCGTTATTAATTTTTTGAGAGAGGCAGATAAGAGAGGTCCTCTTTTTGCTAGAGAAATCCCGTTGATGGCTCTAAATTTAGTTATCATAAACAAAGAAAAAGAGTGATGAGGAGATGCGTAGAGAGAGAGGGAAATACCTGAGAGAGGAACGTGTCCTCATTTCCTAGAGAGAGAGAGGGATAAATCCCTATCATCTAAAGTGAGAATTTGAGTGAGAGATAGAAGCCTGGTTCAGATCAGAGGCACAAGAGGAGGGGAGCCCATAGAGTGACATCCAAAGAACAAGTGAGAGAAAGTTTTAGAGAGAGAAATTTCAAAAGAGCGTTTTAGAGAGATAAAAATGGCAGGTGGAGAAGGAGCAGAGGCGGGGTTGTCACTGGAGTATACTCCGACTTGGGTGGTGGCAGCTGTGTGCTCCGTTTTCGTCTTCATCTCTCTCTTCCTTGAGCGTTTCCTCCATTTCCTCGGAAAGGTGGGTAACCTCTCTCTCTCTCTCTTCATTTCTCTCTTTCATTTCTATTACCATATTTCAACAGCATTTTTACTGGTACTTCCATAAAAATTGAGGCAATTTTTTTTCTTTCTCTAGTTTTTGAAGCGGAAAAACCAAAAGCCGCTGTTTGAAGCTCTACAGAAAGTAAAAGAAGGTAATTTCTCTGTCCCCCTGTCTTCTTTCAATATTCTCTCAATATCACTAATGAAAATTATAGAAATTAACCTCTCTTTCTCCCCTCTAAGCCCAGAAAAGGAAATGACAAATCCCATCTAACAGATCATCAGTACACATTTATAATTTGAATGGAACTCAAAAAAAAAAAAAAAAACTAGGACAATAGTCTCTCTCTCAAGTCTTAAAGAAACACTGATCAGCATATTGGGCTTGTAGTCAAATTGTACTGAAAGGGATTATATTCTCTCTTTCTCTCTCTAACAATCCACTTGGATGAATATATTGGTCTTCCACTGAAATTATACCAGTTTTTATGTTGGATCAATCTGACCCATTTCTATTATTTGATTTTGAAGCATGGGATTTGTTTTTCAAATCCATTAAATTGATGGAAAATGTAAACGCTGACTTCAATTTTTATTTTTATTTTTGACAATTACAATAATACTAATACTGGCTTCACTTAATCCTGAGTTGTAATCTGTCTGTCAAAAAATTGTTCTGAGTTGGCTCCCCCCACCCTCTCCCTCTCTCTCTCTCTAATGGATTCGTGGATTTTTTGTTTATTTGATTCTGAATGATGCAAATTGTATGTGCAGAATTGATGCTTTTGGGTTTCATCTCCCTTATATTGACCGTTCACCCTCTCTCTCTCTCTCACACCTTGGCCCCCCTCAAATGCATACATGGATATGGGTCTTTTCAATTCTGAGTGATGCACTTTCATATATTGCAGATTTGATGCTTTTGGGATTCATTTCCATTATATTGACTGTTCCCTCTCTTTTTCTTTTTTTGGGGGGGGGAGAGGGGATGTTGGGTTCATTCTAACTTATGCACTTTTTAAGTGTAGAGTTTCCATTATATACACTTTTTGTATGCAGAGCTGATGCTTCTGGGGTTTGTCTCTGTTCTATTGACAGTTCACCTTATCTCTCTCTACCCCGCCAAAAGAAAAACAAAAAACCTAAAAAGAAGGATAGTGGGTTTATTTCAATTCTAAATTACACTTTTTATGTGTAGAGTTGATGCCTTTGGAAGTTTCTATTCTGTTACTGCATCTCTCTCTTTCTCAAATGAATACCTGGTTGTTGGGTATTCTGTTTTTCCAATTCTGAATATTACTCCTTGTATGTGCAGAGTTGATGCTTTTGGGTTTCATTTCCCTTCTATTGACTGTTTTCCAAGGATTGATTGGCCGTATATGCATTCCTGAGAGTTTCGTACGCCACATGCTCCCGTGTGAGAAAGAGGGGGCTCCTTCTTCTTCAGAGACAAAGCACTTCCAATCTTTCTTCTCATCTGATATCACAGGAAACAAGCGACGGCTTTTAGCAGAAGCAGCATCAACGGAGTTAGGTCATTGTGCAAAACAGGTAGTTGTCAATTGTATTTGTTGGAAATAACATTTAGGCAATGCAAATGTAGCTTTGATGCCAATTATTGAAATTTGAGCAACGGAAACAAACCGCCATGAGCAGAAATATTCTATTCTTCGGAGAAGGAACAACCATCTGTTAATGTTCTAACGATGAAATAATTATGAAAAGATGTTCTAAACTTTCACATATTTTGAATTAGATTGCATGTCGTTCTTTATATCGTGGTTGGGGACTCTCCTACTCCACATGAACTCTGGCACTTTCATTCCACATCTTTAGTTATGATTCATTTGATTCGTATGTATGAGATGATGATCATATACATATATATTGGTAGACTCCTTAGTATATGAAATTACCCATCCATGAAATAGAAATAAGGGAAATTTATCAAATACCCATTAGAGATAAAGTAACATTTTGCCTTTGCCCATTTTGCAGCTATTCCAACTCAAGACCATGTGTTTTACTATCGGTGTTTTGAAATTAAATCAAAAGATACGGATAAATTGTTATTTTTTTTGAGATAAGGATAAATTCTTAAATTGTTTATTTCTTATGGGTAATTTGATAAATTTTCCTAAAAATAAAAAAGATCAAATAAGTGAACACAGTGTATTGCATTGCTCACAAATTTCGAAAATCTGTGCTTAAGATAGGATTGTTTTTTAGAATGTTATTCTTTATTTCCCTTTGATTATTTGGTCGTTTGCCTGCTGGTTTCATAGATGGTATATTGCTTTTTGTCAGGGGAAGGTTCCACTGCTATCTCTTGAAGCTCTACATCACCTGCACATTTTTATATTTGTGCTGGCCATTGTCCATGTGACCTTTTGTGTTATCACTGTGATATTGGGAGGATTAAAGGTACATGTGGAGACACCAAGTCATCTGGTAAAGTTGTTTTGTAATGAGTATCATGGATATCTTATATTTAGTTCTTAAAAGAAACATGGGCTCTCTATCTTAAGTTTCAGGGGAAATTGACTGATATTGTGAGATTGTCTTTATTTGACAAATCCACCAGTGAGCACTGTTGCTTTATGAATTATTAAGTAGGCGAAACTGTAGTTTTAGTACTCTATATAGTGGTCATTATATATTCTACTATGCATGATTCAGATACGCCAATGGGAACACTGGGAGAAATCCATCGCACAAGAGAAGTATGATACGGATGAGGGTATGATATTCTTTGTTTTTAGATGTTTATGCGTTTTGCTGGTGTGTGAATCAATTAATCTTCAAAAGATTTTGCTTCGAAATCTGACAAAGCTCTATTCTTTTTGTTGTGTTCTTGCCTAACAATTATACGTATTAATTTTTTTTTTGAAATATTTTACTATATATGTGCAGTTCTAAAAACAAAAGTCACACATGTTCAGCATCATTCTTTTATAAGGGAGCATTCTCTTGGTCTGGCAAAAGACTCAGCTCTTTTGAGTTGGCTGGTTAGTTATCACATCACTAATGCAACTTATCATCATTAGGAATGCATGTTATATGGAGTCAGCTGTTACTTTTGGAACTTGAATTCTTCTCCTTTTCATTGAACACTTGCGTGCACATGCATGTTTGCTCACCAAATATTATGAAAACATTGATATTTAGTCTGAGGTTACCTGAGCTGTAAAACTTTTTTTTTTTTACCATTTTCTCTCTTTTTGGAGATAAGCCTGCGGAACTAATTTATTTTTTCCTGCAATTAAAGAGATTGGATTTCAAAATTTTCTTGCATGTTAGTTTTGAGATTTAAAAGAAGAAAAGAAAGAAAATCATAATTCACTAATGATGCAGGAAAATAAATAAATAAAATAAAATAATAAAATTAAAAAGGTTGAGAGATTATGTCCTCTCTTTGGGTTTGCAAGAGAGTGCACCCCAAGATCTTTTCACAAGATCAAACTCCCTCTTTATTTTCCAATTACTCTCCTAATAAAGAAGGGGTATCTTCCTTTTAAATACAAACTAAAAAGAATTATAAAT